GTTGAAGTAGGGGTCATCAAATAAGTTTGCATTTGACTTCAAGATGTAATTCTTTTGATCGGATAGATTTAGTTTAAGTTAAGGAAGGACTTTCTTTATTTTCACAGAAAGAGACAAGTGCAATTAATACAATGTGGATTCTCAAAAAATCATTGGATTTGCTTGACTTTTTACAATCTCAGAAAAGAACCAGGTTCAATTTTTTCTAAACATTTGACTTTTCAACTTTGTACACTACTACCCCACGTGACAGAGGAAACATTTCGTTCCTTGATCCATGGGGCTTTTGTTACAAAGCACGGTGATCTTAGATATAGTAACATGTCTATCTTCAGAGTTTCAGGACAATTTGTCAAAAATGAAAACAAATGCCATCTGAAGATCACTGAGAAATCAATATGTGAAATGATGGACTTCCTCATTGATAACATCAATGTAAACTTTTGGGGGAAGATGTTTCGGCAAGAAGTTGGCATCTCCATTGTGCTCCCCTTCTTGCTGATCTGTTTCATTATGCATATGAATCAGATTGGCATAGTCAAAGTAAGGTAATGTGGCAAAGAGGTTTAACTTTAGCTTCAGGTATTTCGATGATGTAGGTCAATAACCATCAAATAGCCAATTCCCTTCCACTGATTTACCCAACTGAACCAGATAAAAAGAGACCAGTGAGACTACCTCATCTATTTCATATTTAGATCTATGCATAAAGATTCAGTGAGTGAGTGAGTATGGTTTTACGCCGCTTTTAGCAATATTCCAGCAATATCATGGCGGGGGACACCAGAAATGGGCTTCACACATTGTACCATAAAGATTGAGAGGGACAAAATACTCTCCACAAGACGGTATGACAAGAGGGATGACTTCAACTTTCCAATGGTTAACTGTCCCTTTATGTCAAGCAATATTCCAGCAGTTCCAGCCTTTGGTGTCTACATTTCACAACTTTTGAGGTACAGCTGAGCATGCTCATTCAACCAAGATTTCAATGAGTGTCATACAACTCTTGCTCAGATGTTGTTTGATCAAGGTTTCAACATTCAAAGCCTCAGTAAAGCTTTCAATAAGTTTTAAGGTAGAAACATGAAGGGCATTTCTAAATTTGATGCATCAGTGACAAGAAAAATGTCCGATACAATTCTCTATGTTGACTTGTGCCATATGTTATTTTCAGAACAGTTGCTTGCCTTTGCATGTGTTTGTGATGGTGCCACCGGTGGGGCAGGATACACTCACCTTTTCGCAAACACCTGGTATCATCTCTATTTGATAGTGATTCATAAACACATGCTCATGATATAGTCAGAATCACTGTCCTACCCAGAGTTCCATGCAGCCGGCAGCCAGCTAGCATCGTACCTCTGCCACAGGCCAACGCCATGTGACAATGCATCGAATCCTTCACAGTCCATTCAAGACATTGCATATGCTTTTCATCCGTTTCATGTTTGACAAGTCTACACATTTTCATAAACAAATGTCAAAGAATGGTTACAGTTCATTAAGAAAGTACCCTAAGACGTGAAAATCTACTTGTTTTTGCGTAGTTATCCTTTGTTTACATTGGTTGTACGGCTCCACGTGCAGTCATCGAAGCCCAACGGAGAGCTAGCGATACGGTCACTTTGACGTATAAATATATATTGTCATTCAACTCACTGTCCCAGTTGTAGTAGTATATCTATATAATTATGCAAAAATATATGTTAAGCGCCCCCAAATACTTGCATTAGTCCGTTCTATACTGATTTCTGAAAAAGCGTGTTTGTTTACAAACAAGAGAAAAATCTGGCCTCCTGGATATGCAAATTAGCCTGTGGCAGTGGTGTTATGCAGAGTCACCACTGCTCTGGAGTGTGAGTCAGAATTGTACAATCAACTTTGCTTTTTGCTGAGATTTCTTATGAATATATGGGAATGGTTTTGTTACTTTTGATTATTGTGGGGTTCTTATGGAAAAAGACATGTGGTCAGAAAAAGGTCTGTACACTTTGTGTAAAAGAAGATTCAATCATTGTCTTTTGCCATTCTCTTTAAAGAGGCCCCTGATGGGGTAGTCTGTACAATCAGCAGAAAGTGAGGTTAAGGGCTTTTCACAGAAGGCAGAAATAATTTTCTTCGTAAAATCAGCAAAAACTTGTTTTGATGCCATAATTTGACTGTAAATGGTAAATGGTTAAGCAGAGCATGGTTCAAACATTTGTTTGTTGCATTTTGTTGTATATTTTTCGAATCCAAAAACAAAATACAGCAAACTGGCCCCTAAATGATTGTCCTGATGGGATATACTCCTTATCGTCAAACATCATTATAAAACTAATGTTAATGAAAGATATTTCAAATCTTTATTGCAAACACTAACGTGAAATGTCAACTGATGCTTTGTGTAAATGACAACGGTACTGTTTATCATATTTGTACTAAAACCTCATTAATGTTGTCTATTACTAGATCTTACTATACAACAAATTCAGGCAGTGTTTGGCATTTGTAGAACACATTACAATAATGAAATGATAGTAGAACCTGCTGCCTCCAAGTTTCACTGAAGACAGAGTGACAGTCTGCATTTACGCTATTCGCTGTGTGTTTCCACTGACTAAATTACTGACTACTGACTAAAAGCTTCAAATATGACTGACCATGGTGGGGACCTCCCCATCAGGACCCTCATAAAAGAAAGTTAAAGTTCTTTTTTTGGAATGTTGTGAGGTCTGTAATAAGATCATTGGCTGTCTCCGCCACTGTCAATATACATACCATATAACATTTGTCACGCACATTTGGACACTCTGTATGCCACTTAATACAAGATACAACCCTGGATTCAGACAGTTTATTAGCCTCTGACTCCACAGAAAGATGCACAAGTGATGCTTTTGTCTTCGTTTCTGCTATCATAATGAAAGGCAAGAGTTGAAACTGGAACACTAGGATATTGCCTCCTGCTCCAATCTATTAGTCTGCTGTTTTTAAATTGTTCTTCAGCCTTTGAGCCTGTTGTTTTTGCCTTGTTCTTTAGTCTGATAGTCTGCTGTTATTCCTCATGCGTTGATCAGTTGGTCATTGACATCACTGATACTAAACATTAAAAGGAAGTGATTTTCCAACCATAATGTGAAGGTCATTGCATTATTGGAAAACAAATTTATCATGCTCGAAGACCCTGTCATAAAGGAAATGGTAAAATGAACAATTTAATTTCATCAACTTTCAGTTATTGATGATTTGTTTTCCACAATTTTATGTTCTTGTAACTTCAAGAATATCAGATTTCAAAGTCAAATTAAATATTTGAGGGGTTTTTGCTTGCTGGATTGATTGAGCACTGGAGGTGATGTGAAATGGGGTTTAACATAGCATCCAAGATTATTGCACTTATATAGCGACGAACATGCATGTTCGTGCGAGCGTGCGTGCGTGCGTGCGTGCGTGCGTGTGCGCTTGTACTAGTCCGGACTGATGCCGATTTATAGTGCCAGCTCACTGAGATACCATTCCGCAGTTTAACATGATTACCCCATTCAGACGCAGTATACTGACTCCAAGCCGACCAGTCCTTGTTTTAGCCCCTTAATGCCGAGTGCCAGACAGGGTAACAACAAGTACCATCTTATAACGTCTTTTGGTATGACGCGGAAGGGGATCGACCCACAAACCTTCCGCTCTCCGGGCGGACACTCTACCACTATGCCACGGAGGCAGTATTGAGCACTGGAGGCGGGAGTAGGCAGTGTGGAAGCTGGCTGGTATTGATGTAGATCTTAACTTTGTTTTGCATGTATGTTCCTGGATGCATCTGGTGCCTTGTTGCAGTCTCCTGACCACTTTCACGTTCACATTCACAGTCACATTCACTGTCACATTCACTTTTAGATGTCAGATCATATCCACTTTATGGCCCAAGTGTACCGTATTTCATCAAAAGGAGGTTGTATTAACTGGTATGAAATGCCCCTATCCAAAGTTGGAGGCAACAGAAAATTCAGGAGTTTTTCGCTACAGATCGCACACAGCCTGGAAAGCTTAAATTGTTGTGAATCATGAAGATTGTAAGGATTTACAATTTGGTTTGAGGCTTCATGATTTTCACATGATCAGGAAAATTGTTTTCTTATAATAGTTCTACAAAGGCACTATTTGGATTGAATCAAATTGTTTTCATGGATCTTTCTGATCGCAAGGGTCTTAAGCTTATGGTTATTCAAATTGAAAAATGTATAAATTCTGATGATATTTTTTTTGTTCATTTTCGTCCACCACACAAGGGGTGGCTGAAGAGTTCTGAGCCTATCTATGATAGACTGCATTGATGGAGTTGTTTGTACTGTACATCTGGTAGTTTGGCTCAGGACTTTTCAGCTACCCCTTGTATGTCCATGCATGTACCCAAACATTGGCTTACCCATGTCAGGTGAGCTACAGGCAAATTGGGGACAATTGTATTTTGTTACTCCTGAAGGTGTAATGAGTTACATCTTTTACTTTGGATACAACTTTAGCCATTCAATGGAAACTCCACTTATTTGTCTCCATGGCTGAGGAGCTGATTCATCTCAAGAAAAACAGTGGCACACTGTAGAGAACCCATGAATGGGCACAAAAAACACATGCCAGTTCCCATTTATCAGGATTTCATTCCAATTCTTATCTCCTAAATCTCCTTCTATTCAGCGTGAATCTTGATCAGTCAACAAAAGTTTATTGTCCAACTGTAGTTTGTACTGTTGTCTGATTGTATCAGATAAGAGCAGTGTGTACTCACTCTGTCACCTTCTCACTCACCAACTCGACTCATCTCCCCCCTTGTTCTCTCATCTAGACACTCACTCACTCACTCATTCAATGACTTGTCCTCCAAGACATTTATCAATTCATGCGCCCCCCCAATACACAGCCAAATCCCAACCTTCTCACACCCTACTCTCACCCTACTGATTCAGCAATATTTTCACTCCTTTGCTATACCAGTGTCCTTGTTCTCTTGTTCTCCCCAGCTAAACAAGACAGTGACACGAAGACCACGGCGCTGGAGGCTACTGGCCACCTGAAAAGAGCAGTGATGAATGAGAGAGAGGTGAAGATGAGGCTGCAAGAAGAAAACCAAACTTTGAAGGTTGGTGTCATGTTTTTTTCAATTTTCACATTTATCGGATTCATCATGAAGAATTAATTATGTTGGTTTTTATCAGTGGCATTGTTCTGAAGGTGGACTAATAAAACAAGGAAAACACATCAAGATATTAAATTTTAAAAATGAAGACAACTTTTTCTGCCAATGATACATCTATGCTACTGGACCACACTGGCAGTCTGGTTCAAAAACATTTGAATTCAGGCTCAGTTATTTTCATTATTTCCTGTAGATTATACTGTTATTATTTGGAATTTGATTGGTGAAATTGACAAGACCAATTCTTGGGACCTTAGTGTCTAAAGTCTAAAGTCTCTACCAGGTGGTATACAATCTTCAGTGAGACCAAATTCCCTCAGTTGCTTGGGCCACTAATGGGATCAGGTGGTCAGGCTCGGTGATTTGGTTCATGCATGTCTTCTTACCCAATTGCGTGGATCGATGCTCATGATGTCAGTCACACGATTGTCTGGTCCAAACTCCATTATGTACAGACTGACATCATATAACTGGAATATTGCTGAGTGTAGTGTTAAACACCCCCAAAATGATGGGTGGTATAAGGTACAGGATTCAGTGAGACCTGTCTCCTCCTGTTTCAAGGTGGTATGTGTGATAGTAATAGAGTTATGTTCTATATTTTCAGGACAGAATTGGAGATCTAACTGATGAATTGACAAATTCCAAAGCAAATGAGCAGTCACATAAACTTGCATTGAGAGCCATGGAGGAGACAGTCCTGAAACAAGAGAGGGAGAGAGTTAAGCAAGAAGCTCACGAGGTAGGTGGCACAAGGTTCACATGCTTGGCTTTAGGGCTGGAACAAGTCCAAATTTACTACCCAGGTACCCGACCCCCGATTACCCGGGTATCCACTGTTGGTGTCAAGAAGTAGGTACAAAATGTCCGAACTGGAAGTGTTTTACCGGAGCCCTGGCAAAAGCTATTTAGATTCATATATAAAAGAATCTGGTCATGCATTCACTCAAGATGACTGAAGCTTTATTTCTATTCAACATATAAAAGTCAGAAAGAATGAGGGCCTAGTAAGAAAAAAATGCCAACATTAGTGACTTGTTGTCACCATGGAGTTATTGTGAACTTTTGACCCATGAAGATTCCGTAAAAGGCGACTAACAGGATCGGGTGGTCAGACTTGCTGTCTTGGTTGATGCATGTCCTCGATCCCAACTGCGTGTATCAATGTTCATGATATTAATCACTGGATTGTCTGGTCCAGACTGGATTATTTACAGACCACCGTCATATAGCTGGAATATTGCTGAGTGCAGAGTTAAATAACAAACCAAACCAACGTCTTAATGGAGTCATGGACACCGTTAGAGGATGACCTGCTCGGGATCCCAGTGACTCTCTTGAATCACAACAACCACACAGATTCTGATCAGGACTATGGGGAGGATTATTTCCTGTCCAATAGTTCTTTCCTCAGGTCTATGGGTTTAACTCATCCTTTGTGTATATGTTAGATGCCTTATACCATTACCGTATATTGCCGTCCATAAAGCGACCCCACGTATAAGACGACACCCCTGTACAAGCCTTCAAAATCGATGCCAATATATATACCCCGTCTATAAAGCGAATAGGAATGAATCACATCACCATCGCATTCACAATCCCTACATTTGCACTAAAAACGTGCTTGTCTTCTGCAAAAAAAATGACATCATATCCCTTCAGCGAATCAGGGAAATGAACAGATCATAACAGTTAAACTTGGTCATGATGATTTACTGATTAAATTGTATTTCCTGTTCTGCTAGGCATTGTTTTATATGCAGAGATTAAGATTACCACGTGTATTGTCTCATAAACTAAGCTGGAAGCAGCTCTCAGCTGTACACACGTTTTTTAAGATACTACCGGTGTTTCGGTTCAAAATTACCCAATAATATAATTTTAAAGAATTTTAATACAATGATCGGAAAATTTGTATTTGAAACTATCATTTTATCAGGGATATTTTACATATATGGAATCAAGTCACATGCAAAAGTTTTATGCAAGCCCCATGCATTTCACTACCCAAGAATGGGTTTTAAAACATGTGCGTTAACGGGATTCCATATGTATAGTTTAGCATCATGCTGACAACAGCCACTCAGAAAAACAACAAAATTACGCAATTATTCAACATTACGAAATGCCATGCCTGTCCGAAAATGAGCGTCTGCGAGCCATTGGTATGCTTGAAGCAGGATAAATTTAATATCCACAGAAACACCATTTGGTGCTTATGGCAACATTGGCAACAGAAGAATGCAGTCAGAGACCATCCTCGGAGTGGCAAGCCACCCGTAACCAATAATCAACAAGACAACTGGATTCGAACAACACACCTACGAAATCGATTCCAGCCAGCAACAGTGACTGCAAGAAGCATCCCTGGCCTTCGACGAATATCTTCACAAACCGTACGTCGTTGCCTCAGATGTGCAGGGATTGTTGCCAGAAGACCTGCCAGACATCCTATTTTGACAGGAAACCACCGTCAAGCATGTCTACAGTGGCGCAGACAGCGTCTATGCTGGACGGCCATGCAGTGGGGACAAGTTCTATTCACTGACAAGTCTCGTTTTCACTGCAGCCACAACGATGGACGGATTCGAGTGTACCGACGTCGAGGTGAACGTTACGTCAATCATTGTGTCATGGAAGAAGATCGGTTCGGGGGCGGCAGCGTTAAGATATGGGGTGGGATAACAGCAAGACAGAGGACCCGTTTGATAGTGGTAGAGGGAAATCTCAATGGACAGCGCTACTGCGATGAGATCATCAGCCCTGTTGTTCTACCTTTCTAACGCCTGGCCTCATATTGCTTGACTTGTTCAGGATTCTCTTCAACAAAACAACGTGAATGTCATCCCCTGGCCGACTCGCTCCCCTGATCTCTCACCAATTGAGCACATGTGGGATGAGATGGATCGGCGCCTTCGATGTCAACCATGTGTTCCACAGACACTCCAGGAACTTCGAAACATGCTCCAGCAGATATGAACAGATGTCCCACAGGACTTTGTCCGACGCCTGGTCCATTCCATAAGACGAAGATGTGTTGCTTGTATCGCAACCAAAGGTGGACACATACTATTGATTTGTAAATTGACATTTTGGCATGTTCATGGTTTTTTTATGAAATCATTGCATTTTCTGAAGTCAGTATGGCAAATTAAACCATTTGAACACTTACAGGAGTCTTTTATCTGTTACAAACCGAAATTGTTTCAGATTTGGTAAAAAACATAACTTTGCATTAAATCTTATTCAATGTCACAGGAACTTTTGTTATTCAGTATATATCCTTTCTCTATCAACTGAAGTTTGTTTCAAGACATCAGTAGTGGTAATCTTACCATGGTTGCTGTAAATGATGATGACTTGTGTGATCAACCAATCACCTAAGTCCAGATATACTATGGACACTTTTTATAACCAGACAGTATAATTACATGATTAGTTTGCGTACTTCAGTACAGATTTGTTGACATTGTATTTCCGGTGTTACGTGCTCACAGAAATGTTTTCAACCCTGTGTATAAGACAACACTATCCCGCCATTGCGAGCTTCATATGAAGCATGCCTTTGGAGATGCTTCTTGATCAAGTTGGCCTCACACACAGCTTGCTCAGTGCTATTGTGCGTATGCAAAAGGAACTCCACTGCATGCTAGTTTGGACTTCATCCCAACTTCTACGGATGCAACGGCAGCAACTACTGTCGCAAGTCCATTCTTGGGCTGTATTGTCTCAGGCCAAAGAGATGGTGATGATGCAACCCCTTACGGTCCCCAAAACCTTTTAATGACCAGCTTGGGACCATCATAGATGAAGTCGGACAAGATACCACCGAGTAATCCCATAGCTCATCATACTCGGCTAAATGACCAGGTGAGCACTCACAGATGCTTCCTTCCAGGAACCTCAGAGAAAGAAACTTCATCCCATCCGGCAAGGAATCTTCTCAAGCTTTTAGGAGACCTGACCACTATCAACAACAGCCTGCCTCCTTACATCCATCTGAATCAATGTGTGGATCAGGCCGAAGGGGATTAAGTCAGGAGGCTGCTTGGACCATAGATGACTTCACCCCGTGACCACAACCGTCCTAGACCCTTTCGACTTGGCTATGTCCATGGACCTACGACTTCCACCTTTCTCTATGCTACCAACTCCCGGTCTCGTGGTGGGGACGTCTGTCCCTCTTTGCCAACAACTGGCGACTCATTACATCTGACCACTGGATCCTAGACGTAGTTACCCGTGGATACAAGCTTCATTTTGAATCCTGATCTCAACTAGTATCCTAAATCAAGGGCCACCAATTCCATCTGCTAGGGCCCAAGTTGGTGGCTGCCACACTTGCCATCATAACCCTATTAGTCGAGCAGGTCATTCGGGAACTCCAAAATACACAGACTAATGTGCACTTCTATTCCTCTGTGTTTCTGGTTCCCCAGGAAAAAAACACCAAAATAGGATGATAATAGGCCTCAAGGTCCTGAACAAGTCCTACTTGATACCTCCACCAAAATTTCAGATGGAATTTGTCCCAAAACTTCAGTCAACACTACGTGAGGGGGACTGGCTCTTCAGCATCGACCTCCAAGATTTGAATCTCCTCGTGCCAATTCATCCTTCATCCCAGAGATATCTCCAGTTTGCAGTCAATGGCCACTGCTACGAGTTCTTTGTGGCCCCATGGTTGTTCACCACGATAATGGCACCAGTCACCAGTTTCACCCATCTCCATCTGGTGCAACTCTGCGGATACTTGGACGATTTTCTAGCGTTTCTAAGTTTCCTTATTCATCCCTCCAAGTCAGAGTTGACACCTGGACATCAATTACATAGGAGCCTACTTCCTTCCGACTAAGGGATACCTCTGCCATCTGGATGATCGATGCACCTCCATGCTACTAATGATCGACACGGTACTGTCTCAGCTACATCCCTCCATCAGATGGTGGATGTCTCTACTCAGCAAGTTGACCTCATTACAGGATATGACATACTGGGGCAGGCTGCAGTAACGCCCCCTGCAATCCGAGACCAAAGCCCTACGAGATCTTTCTCTCGATGCCCATGTGTCCTTGCCAACCAGCTTTCGTCAGGACCTTCACTTGTGGACTTACGGAGATCATGTAATGTGGGGCATTCCCTCACTAACTGATGTTTGGAAAGAAATGAGGATTTTCTTGCCTTCACGCTTTGGGCTAATGGCAGGACAACTGATTGTTGTATAGTTGACAGTGAAGAGGACTTTACTTGAAAATCTGAAAGTTTAGTTTTAGTGTGATTACAGCCGAAATACAGGATTATGGCAATGATGTAATGGAGGTAGTATTCTTAGAATTATTAACAATGATAACTATTGTTTTGATATCACGTGACTAACTGCGTGTCCGAGTAGTCATGTGGGTACTTGAATCCTTGGAAGTACCTCCCCGACCCGAGTTATCTGCCCAAGCCCCACAAGGCAAAACTGTGTTTTCAGTGGGAGAGCATTTTATATTTTATTTGACAACATAATCTTTTCTTGTTAAAAGTAGTTAAACCAATCACAATGTAGATGGTCCTACAATTATACACGTTTGGGTGTTGATCCAGGTGAAGAAGTTGCAGGAAGCTCAGATGAAGGCAGCAGCCATGACCCGTGAGGCAGAGATGTTGAGACACACCACCGAGAACCAGAAGGGGCAGCTGGGCCAGCTGCAAGAACTCCTGGCTGCACGGGAACAGGAGCACAGGTAGGGCAACACTTGCTGGGTGAGGGAGAGAGGGAGAGAGGGAGGGAGACAGATGTTAAAACACCACCGAGAACCAGAAGGGGCAGCTGGGCCACATGTTTAGTGTCACGCTCACTGTCACGTTTAGTATCATGTTAAGTGTCACGCTCACTGTCACACTTAATGTCATGTTTAGTGTCATGCTCACTGTCACACTTAGTATCATGTTTAGTGTCATGCTCACTGTCACACTTAGTATCATGTTTAGTGTCACGCTCACTGTCACACTTAGTATCGTGTTTAGTGTCACGCTGACTGTCACGCTTAGTGTCATGCTTAGTATCATGTTTAGTTTCACGCTCACTTTCACACTTAGTATCGTGTTTAGTGTCACGCTGACTGTCACGCTTAGTGTCATGCTTAGTATCATGTTTAGTGTCACGCCCACTGTCCCGCTTAGTGTCATGCTTAGTATCATGTTTAGTGTCACGCTTAGTGTCATGTTTAGTGTCACGCTCACTGTCACACTTAGTGTCATGTTTAGTGTCATGCTCACTGTCACGCTTAGTGTCACGCTCACTGTCACGCTTAGTGTCATGCTTAGTATCATGTTTAGTGTCACGCTCACTGTCACGCTTAGTATCATGTTTAGTGTCACGCTCACTGTCATGCTTAGTGTCATGCTCAGTATCATGTTTAGTGTCAGGCTTACTGTCATGCTTAGTGTCATGCTCAGTATCATGTTTAGTGTCAGGCTTAGTATCTTCAAGTTTCCCCTCACTGGGGTCCCAGTACAACATGAGAGCTGACTAATAGGGAGCTGGCTTACTGTGCTTCATCTCACACTGACAGTGGATGTGTAAGCCTTCAGTAATGAAACAACATTAACTAGCTCTGCATGCATAGAATTGCCAAATGAGACTCTTGAAGTGACAGGTTTTGCTTGTAAATAAATACCTGACATTCTGTGCATCAGCTGACAGTTTACCTCATTACGAGGATTGATGATATGAGTTTCCACTTTTTGTTTAGGTTTTTGCACTTTCGCCTCTGCATGATATTGGTGTCCTCCAGGGATGTGCCCAGGACTTAACTCTGTAACATGATCGGTGTTGTAGAACCCTAGCCAGAGTAGGTGATTCCTCACGAAGACACATGATACAAACACGTGATACAGACCCATGTACAGACATATGAAGCAGACATATGATAAACACATGGGACACGTGATACAGTCATGATACATTAAGGCTTTGATAAAACTGTTTAGTACAGAGAGGGTACAAACATGTGTTCCGCAAATAAGCTACAAATATTTCACATGTGATACAGGCATATGATACACACACTTGATACAATAAACATGTGATGCATGCAGCAATTCATGTGTGTACATCTTAATTAAACACATATACCCTGCAAAAACAAAAATGAAAAATTTTAGATACATATTTTATGTATCATATAAATAATCAACAGTGTCATCAATTGTTCAAACTTTGACACACGGAACAGTAGATTTTCAAGGTGAAGGTCAACTGTTCTCAATATCTTGTATGGCCACCATCAGAGTCCAAAGTTGACTAGCATCGTGGTCCCATGGAAGCAGTCAGATCCCGTATTGTGGCCTGGGTAATGCTCTGTGGTTGTTGCTGACGAGCATGCATATAGAATACTAAACGAGCTCCCGTGTAATACCAATTTTATGAACCGAGTGAATAGTTCTGGTATCTGACGAGCGAAAGCTCGTCAGATACCACAACTATTCACGAGTTTCATAAAATTGGTTTTACACGATAGCGAGTTTAGTATTTTATTTATTACTTGTCATTTATAATGTTTTTAGAATTATACTGTTGAGTGTGAATAGGCTGACACCTACACGATCCATGGCATAATCCAATTGAGTTTAACAGAATAATACTTCAAACACGTCAAAAGTTGAAACGTATGAATTTAATATCATACAATGGTCCCCCTTTAGAATTCAGGCGTTCGTCCCACAAAATTACCGTAGTGCTAAGGCTATCACAACTCACATAATTTAACTTAGACTAACGACTGTCGTTGCGCTAGAGTACGATCGCCTTGTGGAACGGGGCCTTCCACCTCAAAGTTTACAATCACGTCACAATACCCGATGACGTAATTTGTTGAATTTTGTTGCAAGATCCATCGGCGAAACAATGCCATGTGACGTCAGCCTAGCAACAAGGTTGCTGGGGTCATCGAGTGTGCATAAGCTCCTCCCAGTGATCTATCATCTCTACACACAATGTCGTTGAATAAGCCAAGGGATGTTGAGAGCTTTCAATATTTGTTCGAGAAACGTGTTCTGAGAGTACATAAGCACGCGTCGTGGTATTACACAATGTGTAATAAAGCTGTATGTTTATTAAACGGGTGATCTCTTCACAGGCAAGTAATAAAGTCGTTTATCCAATGTGTCCCACAAATGTTTGATTGGGTTTACATCTGGAGACCTGGAGGGCCATGGAAGGACCTGGATGTTGTGACTCTCCAGCTGAAGATGCTTCTCCTGTTTGCAGTCAGCCGATGACATAATTGCATTAGGCTTCCGTCAGTCATGGCATGTTCACTTGCTATAAGATTGTGACGGCATGCAATTGAAAACCCAACGTTTGTATAGCCCAACAAGTGATGCTGCACGTGCATGGCTTGTTGGTGTGTTTAGGCGCCAGGCTCTCATGTGGTTGTCTTTTTGCGATTTTTAAATCTTTTCACCAAACTTCAGCAGTACCTCATTCTTTCGACACTAGTCAATCCTAACCCATGCAGAAATGACCAATTCATTTTTGGTATTAATTTCGTATGAATGTTGGCGACACTTTGTCAGAAAGTTATTAGTTTGCTACTTTTGCGTTTCTTATTCATGTGTAATATCAAGCTTCTGGCCTCCATGAGGGACACTCTTTTGGTTTAGAACCATATTATGCCTTGATATTATGTATATTTATGTATTTGTTTTAATTCCCCTTGGGAAATGAACACAAAAGAAGATGTATCAAACATACATATTGACAACATTGTACATTATTTTCTTCTTAAACAGGGAAAGAGGGGTGAAGTATTTACCAATGATTGGGATATGCTGAAATGGTAGTGTGAATGCAAACCTTCTGATGTCTAACAGGGATATTAGGTTGAATACTCCCCAGGGAGTTGAGAATGCAATTTGAACGTTCACTGATCTGTTGACAAGGATAATATTATGTCATATATCATGGGTTGTGGGCATGCATCTCTGCGGGATGCAGTGTAGTGAAGTGTCATTTCAAGCACAAAGGTTTTCATGACAGTCCGTTAATCATTAATCCATCATGAATTTTTAACATTGTCAACATTTCTTTTGACACAGTAAAAACCAATATCATAGAGTGAAAAATATTTGAGAATCTTCTCAGAAAAAGGTCAGGAAGCTGAAATTTGGATATTTGTTGTAATTAAAGCACTATCATAGGGACTCAGATTTAGTCACTCTAAACCGATTGTCTTGCTGGAATTACTTACAATATAGTTCTGGTAAATAGTAGGGGTCAATAGTAGGGGTCAAACAATACAGCAAGGTCACGATACATAGGTCACTTATATAATACAATATGTATCACGATACGTATAATTATGTCTAATCACTGTAAACTTCTTGACTAGGATCCAAATGAAAAGCTAACTGTAGACAAATGTTCGTAGAGGCTATTTTCAGTAGTGAACTTGAAACCCTTATTACAATACATGTTGCGATATATGACTGACATAAACGTGTGGGTGTGTGATGACGTGGCAGTAGTAAGTTGTTCATCTATCATGGTATCAGCTTGTTTCGATACAGAAAAGAATGTATCGTGTCATCGCATGAAAACTTACGATGCACTGGTGCACCCCTTGAAAATGGTGGTATCTATGCAAAGAAACTCATCTTGGAGCCTTGTGTCTCTATGTTGAGCTCATCTGACTGAAAGTCGAGAGGAATTAAGTTGTGGCATGTTGTGCATGACGAACATTTATCAGAAACCACTGGACCGATAACTGAAACCTCCCTGCTTGTTCCACCGACATCCTAATTTGTTTAGAGGTTCAAACCTGAATCCGATCTGCTATGGCGGCCACATTGAAGTATATTTATGGCAATCACATGGCTATTTTTAATCTAAATTTAATTAAATGTGGTATATGCTTAGGGGGACTTATGTTATTTGTCTCCATATTATATATTTTGACCTTGTTATGGCCTTGCCCTTAAAGCCCCACCCTGACTATAAATAGCCCGCGGTGTTTCAGTTTCGAACAATGACTGACAATGTAAACAGAAGGGAGATGTTTTTTGAAAACCATACGGGAACCAGATCACCATTGACCGGCAAACTTCGTATCAACTTGAATGACAAACCATGGATACAACAAATGGCTCCATATCAAGTTATAAGTCAATAAATTTTCTGTAGTTTTATCATAAAAAATCAAAGCAATCATGTTTGGCATCTGCATCAATCACAGTGGGCGGAGCTTATTTACGGTTGCGCTATAAATAGCAATATAAATTCTCATGAAAAGTGTAGACATCTCTTAAATTTCCAGACTGAGGAAGATGACTTTGGCAAGGATGGTTCAAATCATTGTAATTTTAGTCTTTCTGGTCCTCGGGGCAGTCAGGTAGCCTAGTGGTTAATGCGTTTGCTCATCACGCCGAAGACCCGGGTTCGATTCCCATTATGGGTACAATGTGTGAAGCCCCTTTCTGGTGTCCCCCGCCGTGATTTTGCTGGAATATTGCTTTAAGCGGCGTAAAATCATACTCACTCACTCACTTTCTGGTCCTCATTTTCTTTGCTGAAAATATTAAAGTATCATCGCTAACAGCAATATCTTTTAAGTGGCTATCTTTGTTGACATTAAAAACTTTTGACTTTATCGAGGTGAGCTACAGTGCCATGGCACTATATTTCAATTTTTTGAAAGAGGGTGATTAAATTTCATTTACAATAGACTCAACAACCCCATCA